CCTGCCCAGCCCCCGGATTTTGCTGGTTCCAGGATGGCCTTTTTGCCTCAGCCCGCCAAACAAGTATCTCTTCGAATTGAAGAAGGCCATGCTGGGTCTTTAGCCTCCAAGCTGAATGATCAGAGGTCAAGGTTTCCCAGCTGTTGATGTCCATTCCCAAGGCCTTTAGATCCCTCTTGCAGATATCCTTATATCGCAGCTGTGGTCTCCCTCTAGGGCGCTTTCCCTGCACTAATTCTCCATACAGGAGGTCTTTCGGAATCCGACCATCAGCCATCTTCACGACATGCCCAAACCAGCATGTGTGCATGTATGTATAGTATTAATATTAGAGCTATGGTGGTGCAGTGGTTAGAATGCAGTATTGTTGACTGTCGATTGCCAGAAGTTTGGCAGTTCAATTCTCATCGGTTCGAGGTTGATTCAGCCTTCTATCCTTCTGAGGCCAGTAAAATGAAGACCCAGATTGTTGGGAGCAATATGCTGACTCTCTAAACCACTTAGAGAGGGCTATAAAGCACCGTGAAGCAGTATATAAGTCTAAGTGCTATTGCTATCGGCTATGCCCAAATTAAAACACTTGAAGATGAATTAATTTACATCTTTTATACATCTTCTTTCATACCATATGGCAGAAATTGAAGTCCGGGTATATAGACAGACACTCAGTAAATAAAAAAGGGCTTTCTGTACTACATTGGATCATAGGTATCTACGAAGTCAAGTTAATGAGTCTATGCTCCAACATGCAATTCAGAAATACAGTTGCTAAATAAACTATATGGAATGTGCAATTGATTACCCCAATGTAGAATGATTGCATGGCAGAAACACAAATATTATCCCAAACTGCTGACTGGTTGAATGGATGAAACATTATTGCAAATTTGTTATGAAGATTGGCAACTACTCATTCCTACCTTGCCTGCTCCACTAATTTTTTCACTTCTGAAGACCATTTCCTCTTAAGCAGGTATTCAGAAGGAAGAAAAAAACAGCATCCATTTATGTGATATTTCAAGCTAAGCAGGTCACCAAGCTTTCTAACATTTTCTGTGTATCTTTAATTATTTCTATAGGTGTCCATCCCTACAAATGCCAGTTCTACACTTTTCTTTTCCAAAAATCAATTGAGAATACATTTTGAACTAGAAGTCAAATAGAAATTTGCAGGAAAAATACAGTAACATGCCACATCGGGATAATGGATATATAACATTGCATTTATTTTAATTGGAAGGAAAATACAGACTTATTTTTTCAAGGCATAAAATGTTTTGAGGCCAGCCTGGAGATTGGAACCTAATGATACAGTGAAGATGGTGCTTAAATAGGCCAGAACTCGAGCAACTTGAGCCTCTATATCAGGAGTGTCAAACTTAACAACAACATGTTGTTATCACGTGATGTATCACAACTTTTTCCCCCTTGACTAAAACAGGGGTGGCCATGGCCAGCACATGACACATCCAGCCCGCAGTCCACGAGTTGGACACCCCTGCTGTATATCTAGAAAAATGACTAAATTTGTGAAGTGGAAATAGTGTTAGGATTTTGAGTTTTCTATTGTCATTGCAGGACAAGTGATGGGGACCAGGGAAGTGGACTCTATTGATGTACAAAATATACATCATTACAGGAGGTGGAGGTACCTCAAAGTATGTCAAATCAACAGGGATCATGGGAAAAAAATAATCATCTCACTGCATGATACCTAATAATATATTATTACACTTGATGCACACTTTATAGTTGAAGAGAAATTGGTCTGGTGGCAACAGAGAGACTAGGACTACCCAATCTGGCTTGCAAAAATCCAGAGGACCACGAGATGGGAGGAAAGAAAAACATAAAACGCTTGACTCATGGGTTTCTGCAGCGCAATTCTTGTAGTTTTAGAGGTTCATTTCAGGGTACACCATGTGGCCTTTCAATCCAAACTGGGAAAATAATAGTCAAAATGCAGCTCTTTTGATTAGTCAAAATGCAGTTCTTTTCACCCCAATCTTTTGTACATAAAAGTGTGGTTTATAGATTGAATAAAGGAGATTTGGAAGCAAGAGATCAGAGAATAAAAGGTCTTTCAATGGGATTGACTCAGTACAGCATAGACTTCCCAGTGAATTAAACTTCATTGTACCTACAGTTCATACAGTGATCAATGAATGTCTGCATGTCAAATATTTTCTCTTACACTAATCTCTCTGAATGTCACCTTTGGCATTCTTCCCTATTTTCTTCTGGGCATTACTATTTCCTCTTGGTTGTCTTTTGGTTTCTCATTACAAGGTGTAAGTTGTAAGTCAATCATGTGTTGAAGTGTCTTGGTTGTACTTGGGATTGCTGTAGCAGCCCTCTCCAGTTACTATCCTCAGCAGTATTTTTTTAAGGAAATGAGATAAATCCTTAAAACAGAGTCCGGAATCATTTTATACAGTGCCTTGAAATCTGTGTGAGAGTTTTATTTGTCTGTAATATAATATCCTTGTTTCTACTTTTAAAATATCTACTTCCCAACTGCCTTGCTAAATTCTTTAACTAACCTTGAAATAATAGCATAAAGTGAAGTTCAGTAATATTTTCAAGGGTAGTCATTGTGTTTGCTCTTTTAAACTCTATAAAGTTGATTTATTTTTAAAATCCTAGAAGCGCTGTGGAAGTAACTCTTAAAACAATTCATGCACCAAATGCATGCTGACCATTATTTAGTGACTACAACATTTCCTAGTGGGCATACTTTGCAAAAGAGTGAATCAAGGTCCAAAACACTGCAAGAACATTCCTATTTCCTGATACCATCTCAAGATAACATTGCCTTTCAATACGTGTTTCGCTGTTCTTTTTCCCATACATAGTCTTTCAATGCATAACCTTTCCCATGTCCACCTATACAGAGAATTTGTAGTTATTTCAGTTATATAGTTCTATTTATATGTCTGTACAAAAAGAAGTAGATAATATGCTTGCAAACAATAGCTACTAGTGAATTCAGAACAGTCACTACCTAATTTTCAAGAAATTGTCAAATATGAGACTGACTACTTCAACTCTTCATTCAGTAGTTCTCAGATGAGCGCAACAAATACATCTCTGAGATTGGAGTCATCTGGGTTGATTTAATCCAGCATTTTATTGCCCCAAGTATAATTTTATATATCTCTATTGTATCCCTTTTTATTGTAAATAGAGTCACAAACCATTCGCTTTGCTTATACGGGAGTCTTTCCACAGTTGTGTGGGACTTTTCATTATTTTTTCCACTTTCTCTAGAGTCGAAGTGTGATGATCAGAATTGTGCATAGTATTTGAAATGAAACATCATCATCATCACATTTTTAAAAGGCATTACAATATTGGAAATTTAATCTTATGATTCTTTTTCTACTGATCTCAGCTTGGGTTTAACTTTTTCAAGACAGTTCTACATTGTACTGATATTTTTATTGAGCTGTTCACTTATCCTTTGTGATTGCTTTCTTAGTCAATGTCAGCTCAATCTCCATCAGTTTATATGAGCTATATGAAGTTAGACTATTTTGCTTCACTTTATTGTTGCATATTTTAAGACACATACCTTCATTTTATGCTAATCCACCAAACTTTTCAGAATTTTTTTTAGCATTGTTTGTTCTCCTTTATTTTGAGCATTTTATATAATTGGGTGCTGATTCAAATAGCTTGTAAACAAGTTTAAAATCACTAAATTCATACCCATGTTACACTAATTTAATGTTTATTTCTACTTTGGGGTTTTTTTTTTTGTTCACAAAAGTGATAACCTCTTGAATTTGAGATCTGCATGAGTTGCCAGCACCATGATTGGAAGAGGATAGTAATGAAGTATATTATTAGAATTAATTACAAGAATTAATAAATAATTTGCAGTTACTCAGTAGGAGTTGTTCTGTAGTCATACAAATATGAATCTGAATCAAAGAATATAAGATCTTATGCATATATACCTGAGAATAAGACCCAATTGAAAGCAATAAAATGTATCTGTAATTAAACATATATAGGATTCTTGATAAAAATAAAAGAACAGATTTTTGTGTATGATAGTAGAAGTAGCCTATACAAACATGATTTAAAAATTGTTATGTTCCTACACAATGAAATCAAGCTTTATCACTGTAGCTTTTCAATAACTATATTTTGCTTTAAACAAAGAGACATTTTAGTAGTATTTTTTTACAAACATGTTTTTTTCTTCTCTCTTTCCTCATGGGTTTATCAAAATGTAATTATCAAAATCTGGATTGTTTCTTTCTTGAATCTAAATCCATGCGTACTCATAATTATATAAATATAGCCACATCTTACGACCTACAAATTATTATATTTACTGGAAGAACTATCAATAAGCACTTATTGATTAACCTTGGGATACTTAAACACTCTGCATACTATTATTTATTTAGCAATATTAAAATAATTTTAGTTTTAGAAAGTATTATATGCCAAATATGAAAGAGCAAATGTGCACACTTTGTTGTAATATAAATAGAAGATCAAAGTGAAATCCTACCTCATACTGGCTGAAAAACAGAAGCAGCTCTGCTTAATAAATTTCTGCCTTTTTTGTGACCTTACTGTTTATTACAGGGGTCCCCAAACTTGGCAACTTTAAAACTTGTGGACTTCAACTCCCAGAATTCTCCAGCCAGCATAGCTTAAAGTTGCCAAGATTGGAGTCCTCTGGTTTATTAAAACATAACATTGTGTAAATGAGATAGAAAATGGTTTTGTTGTTGTTGTTGTTGAATGAATACCTTTCGTTGAAACTGACTATGCATTGATTCTTTTTGCAGTGGCTAAAAAATCCTGGCCCCCAACATGAGAAACGGACTTTGTTTGGGGACATGGTGTGCTTCTTGTTTATAACTCCATTGGCTACTATCTCCGGCTGGTTGTGTTTGCGCGGAGCAGTGGATCATCTGCACTTTAGTAGTAGGCTAGAAGCTGTTGGGCTCATTGCACTCACTGTCGCACTCTTCACAATTTACCTCTTTTGGACACTAGTAAGTAGTCTTTTGTTTTGATTTCTATTTACATTAGAGTATGATAAATCTTATAATGTTATTCTGGGACCATCTGGAGACAGTTATTGTTGTATGAGAAATGATCAAACTTCTTTATTTGAATAACAGCTTCATAATATAGCTTGAAATCATGAGTGGCATGGTGGCCTAGAGGTGGAGCTCTCACCTCACAATCAGGAGGCTGTGAGTTCTATCCGAGGTGGCATTCAGCAGGTTCTGACCAGTTCTGGAGAACTGGTAGTGGAAATTTTGAATAGTTCAGAGAACCAGCAAATACTACCTCTCACTGGAGATTTTCCCCTGCCACGCCCACCAACCCACACCCAGAGAACCACTAGTAAAAAAAAATGAATCCCACCACTGGATCCTAAATAGCAGCAGATATTTTTCTCTCTGTACACAAGTAATTGTCTGCTGTGAACTTCATGTAGGCTTCAGGAAGGGTATCTGGCCAGTAAACGTTTAGCTCCAATCAGGGTATTCAGCTTTGTTCGGGTATTTTCCCACGTCTTTGTAGTTGTGCTTTTAAAGTTGTAGCAACGTTTCGGCAGAATCTCATCTGCCATCATCAGGTTTCTGTATTGTGTTCGTCTGTAATATATAAATCAATAGCATGCACAATATATAAATATATATATTATATAAATATATAATATATATATATCTATATATATATATTATAAATATATAATATATAAATATATAAATCAATAGCACGCACACAAAATTTGGTTCTTTTAGGTTGGATCTAGATGGTTTGCATTTCAGTAGTTTCTTGTAGAATGTTCTTGGCATGGAAATAGGAGAATTATTTTGTAATATTCTCTCCCTTCCTCTATCTTTCCAGTGTTCCACAACATGTTAAAAATGATAAAGACGTCAAAATGAGGATATATTTAACAAAGAGTATCTCTTTCCTTTCTATCACAGAAATGGTCTGTGGTATAATATGTGTTATTTAGATTAAAAACTCTTCCATCAGTAGACAGATGGCCTTAGATCCAAGCCAGTATTTGGAATGGCCTAATATTAAGAGACTTTAGCCAAACTACAATGAGTAAAGGGTGGTGGTGGAAATCCTGGTGAAATAAGTCAGTGCTTGGAAAATAGGCAGCAAAATATTTGCAGACATCATCAACGTCATATCTATGCAGCAAGTAAAAAAATTAACAGATTCCCCTTCCCCTTTGGCACTAATAATGGGCAGATTGAAGCTAATGCTTTGTTTTCTCTAAGTTGTTTGGGATGGGCAACATTAGGGAGAGATTCATCTAATACAAGCCTGTTTCTAATTCTAATGTGAATTGTGTGAGACATCTGCCTTTACCTCCAGACCAGAAACTTGAGACATTGCTCATCTTTCCTAAATAAGCTTTTGTGGACATTGTTTAGGACTAAAAAAAACTATAGTGTTCTGAACAAGCTACAGTATGAAAGATCTGAGTTGTCTTTTTCCTTCTGTATTGGTAATAAGAAGCATTTTTCAAGGCTCAGTAGATTTCAGAATAACAAGTCTGGAGCTTTTAGTTAAACCTGAGTGAGAAAGCTATGTGTTCGATATCCCCAAACAGTTTCTACCGTGTAACCTTGTACACTAATATATTTTGAAACACAAGCTGTCTTTCTTCCTCCAGACATCCAGATGTCTCAAATATGGAGGGACAATTGAGAATGTGATCCTTTTAGAATGGTTGAATTACTTAAAATGGGCTGATTGATTTTCACTGCTAAAGAAGTGTGAAGAGAATGCAGACAATCTTCCCAGCTGAAAGACATCTGCAGGAAAGAAGCAGTGGTTTCTATAGAGATGCATCAACTCCACAGATGCTTTCATAAAGAAAACAAAACCACTTTTTAAAAATTTCTATCATGAAATTCTATCATGAAATGCCATTACAGGTTAAGCATTTTTAACTAGGTTTTAGTCAATATCACTTTCAAGCTGAGTACTCATATAGGAAAGATTAAAAAAGAAAAAGAACTGCATCTAGTGCCATGACTCACACTCATGCCAGAAAGACTTTCCTTTCCTCTCAAGTATGCAACCCACTTGTGCTTCCCCTCCAGATATGTCTGCTCTGGTCCAGCAGCTATCAAGAAGAGATGCCAGTGTACAGATTCATGGGAGAAGGTATCCTTACTGCATAGACCTCATTAGACATAAGTCAGACTTGAAAAACAGTAAACAGAAATCTCTCCATAAGAAAAGGAAACATGTTCTGCCCAATCTCCCCCCTGTAACATATCCTATTTTTATTATTGTTTTCAGCAGTGTGCAGCCACTAATCTACAAAAAAATTGTGCTGTTATCTTGACATAGGATGGGAAGTCCTTATTGAAACAATCACTTTCGTAATCATCAACAGCGAGGAATGGTGGTCAATTATTGCCTCTTGCTTCCCTGATATTCGTCTTGTTATAATGTAAACCAGGGGTCTCCAACCTTGGCAACATTAAGACTTGTGGACTTCAACTCCCAGAAAACAGCAAAGCTGGTTGAGGAACTCTGGGAGTTGAAATCCACAAATCTTCACGTTGCCAAGGTTGGAGACCCCTGATGTAAACCAACTTCTGCTCATCTATTTTCTCCTTTCCTTGTTTCTGGTTGCCATTCTAAATATCCTTAGCTGGGACTAAGCTTCATTAAGCTTACAGAAACTTACATCTGAGTAGAAGTGTCATGTCCCGTCCGCACTTTTTATTCATTCTTAATTATTTTCCTTTGTTCCTCCTAATTCCTTCGTTTTCTGCAATTTCTGTTTGACTGAACTATTATTAATATATGCTAGCTTTGGAAGCAGACCACCTTTCTGATATTTGGTATTTGCTGTATATAAAGAAAGTAAATTGAAAATATGTTAGTTTAATCCCAAATAATAAGTTCCATCTTTAATTTCTAGCTTTGCTCTTAGTAATTCTTTGTGCTGTCTCTAACTGAGAGAACTGGAATGAAAAAAAAAATAGGGCACATATTTGGTTGGTCTGGCTCTATGTTTTCATTTCATTGCTTTTCAATCCTATTGTGGTTTCTTTATCAATACTGCATCCACTTTAGCATTTATTTTAAGAACTTTTGAATAAGATGAATATTCCTGTTAGAAAAAGGAATTCATTGTCAGCACAGCTGTATAAATTAAAGCATTTCCTATTAGATGGGCCACATTTGTTTTATTCAGCATCATAATGATGTTTGATACTCTATTGCTTTCTCTTGAAAGACATGTGAAACTTACAATATCCTTCTATGAATTTTTGACACTGAAAAAATCTTTATAATAAGTCTATGAAATTTGGATGACAAAAATCCACACAGTCCCCAGGTAGCAACAGAGTATTATAAAAAAACTTGTTAACATTTTGCTATCCCCAGTAGACATATCGATTTTTGCTTTCCAGATCTGTTTAGAATCTCCATTTTGATCTACTTCATGAACTGTTACTGAGAATATTACCAAAAATAACTTTAGCCAGTTGATTCAGATGATGCTACAGCTGTCATATCTGCATACTTAACACTGGAGTTCTAGATCAGAAGTTATATTAGTTACTATGTTATTTTTGTGATACAGAACCAACTTTGAGAGGAAGTAGCTTTTCCATGCTTAGGGAAAAAAGAGCTGTAAGGTCATATGGTCTATTTGGGAATTCTTGGAATTGCAGCCCAATATAAGTGGCATAGCAAACTGAGACTCGGAATTTTTGCACACTTGATCATTTGCTTTCATTATTTACATCCATGAATGCCTTTCTGTACCCAAATTGCAAGGAATACAGGTTTGGGAAGTAAGCTGCAGAGCAGAGAAAAAGAAAGAGGTTATATCCCCCATCCAGAAGTTCTAAGATATCTGCATGTCATTGTGAATCTACTGTAGAAGGCCATCCACATATAGGAAAAAAACATCGGCTATATCCATGGTTATGATTAATTCTTCATAGACAACAGAAAAAAATGGGGTGACTGGGGAAGGATTATAAGGAGGGCCCCAGAAATACCAAACAACCTTAAGCACACTAAATCTTGCTCTGACACTCTGTTCAAATCATATGGGAAAATGATTTGTTTGAAAAGGATCCTGCATTTGGAATGAATTTAGAGAAAATTGAAAGAAGCTATGAAACAGTACAGGTGAAACTCGAAAAATTAGAATATCGTGCAAAAGTTCATTTATTTCAGTAATGCAACTTAAAAGGTGAAACATATATATGAGATAGACTCATTACATGCAAAGCAAGATAGTTCAAGCCATGATTTGTCATAATTGTGATGATTATGGCTTACAGCTCATGAAAATCCCAAATCCACAATCTCAGAAAATTAGAATATTACATGCAATCAATAAAACAAGGATTGTACATAGAACAATATCGGACCTCTGAAAAGTATAAGCGTGCATATGTACTCAGTACTTGGTTTGGGCCCCTTTTGCAGTAATTACTTGCACAATGCAGCATGGCATGGAAGCTATCAGCCTATGGCACTGCTGAGGGGTTATGGAAGACCAGGATGCTTCAATAGCGGCCTTCAGCTCTTCTGCATTGTTCAGTCTCATGTCTCTCATCTTTCTCTTGGCAATGCCCCATAGATTCTCTATGGGGTTCAGGTCATGCGAGTTTGCTGGCCAATCAAGCACAGTAATCCCACGGTCATTGCACCAGGTTTTGGTGCTTTTGGCAGTGTGGGCAGGTGCCAAGTCCTGCTGGAAAATGAAGTCAGCATCCCCATAAAGCTCATCTGTGGAAGGAAGCATGAAGTGCTCCAAAATCTCCTGGTACACGGCTGCGTTGACCCTGGACTTAATGAAGCACAGTGGACCAACACCAGTAGATGACATAGTTCCCCAAATCACACAGACTGTGGAAACTTCACACTGGACTTCAAGCATCTTGCAGTGTGCGCCTCTCCATTCTTCCTCCAAACTCTGGGTCCTTGGTTTTGAAATGAGATGCAAAAGTTGCTCTCATCAGAAAAGAGGACTTTG